AACAACAGCAACAACAACAGCAACAACACTTTAATTCGCTCTTCGCTCTAATAGTATGTTACTGATTTTACATTTACTGACGCACACTGTTGTTGCCAACAATGTTGGTGTTTATCGTTACTTAATGTTATATTGTTACTGTTAGTTATTATTAATTATGCATGTACTCGCACAGGCACTTGGAACGTCTCAATATAAAAGAAAAAAGGTAAATAAACACGAAATGTATTTACTACCAAAGTCTTAATGTTTCTCTACTCTCTTTCACCTATTATTGCCGACAATTTCCTGTAAATGCCGTCCAACTGCTCATCTGCAACACACTGTCACACGCTGGCCGCCGCACGCTAGCTGCTGCACACTGACACATAAATATATAGTATTATATATAAAAAAATAAACACACACACTATATATTTATGTGTCAGTGTGCAGCAGCTAGCGTGCGGTGTACTTGTGTGTTGCAGATGAGCATTTGACCGGCATTTACAGGTGATTATAGGCGAAATAGAGTAGAGAAACATTAAGACTTTGGTAGTAAATACATTTCGTGTTTATTTACCTTTTTTCTTCTTATTGAGACGTTCCAAGTGCCTGTGTGCATGGCGGTAAGAATTAACTCGCGCGCGTGTGTGTAGCGGGTACGAAGTGGACGCGCCGTCATATGAAAGAGGTCGACACGCGAGGTCGCAGATGGCATAAGGACACGTCATCGTGTTTCCTGCCACGCGCAGACCTCATGAATATGTGCGCGCCTCGAGTAATCTACAAGCGCGAGCGAGCGAGCGAGCGAGCGAGAGGGGAGAAGGAGAGAATCTACTCGGAAATTGCCAATTAGCGGCGCGCTTTGACGCCGACACCTCACACAGATGTCGCCGCGCGCGCCGACGACCAGTCAGGCGCTGCCCAGTCAGCAGCACCGCGTCCTTAACAACACGGGTCCCAGCTGGCCGGCCGACGACTGGCTCCCGTTGCAAAGCCACCCGGCTTTATAAGCGCGCCTGGGTCATGCTCATAATCCTCCTCAACCACAGACTCTTATCGTCAACACTTTGGTTCGAAGACGTTTCGGCACGATGACGACCGGTCTATTCGTAGCATCTCTGTTCGCCGCCCTCGGCACGGCACTCTGCAGTAACTACACCGTCGGCAGAGAGGCCTACCTGGACTTCCACATCACACCAAAGGAGCCGCAGGACGAGCCGATAAGAGGCAGAATAGTCATCGCGCTGTTCACAGAGGCCCTGCCCATGACCACCTACAGCTTCGCCATGATCGCCAAGGGATTCAAGAAAGCCAACCCACCACACCAGTTGATGCATTACAAGAACAGCTACGTACATAGGTAAGCTTGTACAGGTAGATCTACGTATATGTATCTATAGATATACATATCTATATCTATATATCGTATAGATGCATAATGTGCATAGTGTGCAGAGGCAGGCGAGCGCGCAACTCTCGCAGCACGGCTGTTCTGACGTTTAGCTTTCGTCGATTTCGCTCTACAATTCAAGGGTTATCGAAGTCGAACACGAGTGCACGGTTACACGTTGTCATGCAGTGCACGCGTGCACACACACACACACACAAACACACACACACACACACACACACACACACACACACACACAAACACGCACACGCATACATACACGCACGTACACATACACGAACCCGGCACACTCATACGCACACATTATGTGCCATACAAGCACACGCACATACGCACACACGTACACGCGCGAATCCAAGAAGAGCTCGATAATTATACGACCAATGTCCACCTGCAACATTTACCGAAATCTACTCAAATATCGGTCACGCTGCTCGAACTCTTGCGTAAACCGTTCTCAATTCATCTATTCTAACGAGAGGGAAAACATGAACACGAAACACGCAAAGAATAACTTCCCCGCTCCCACACGCGCAAACTTTTCGCGATGATCTTTCGCCAGCGCGATGTTTCCGATTGGCTGCGGCACCCTGCATTGTTCACTCTCGTCGCGAGCGTACCGTATAGTAGTAGTATCATAGGTATTATAGAGACAAGCTACGTAGATAGTAGTAGTTATAGGTATAGTAGTAGGTAGTAGGTATAGGTAGTAGTAGTAGTATAGGTATAGTAGTAGAATGCCGTTACTAACTACAGCATTGTACTAACTACACTCGTGACCATGCATGCGCGAGCCTGCACATCTACCGCTACGGCCGGACGATAGTCGGTCCGAAGGCAGTACAATCAGTATGATGCTAAGCTCACTTTCTCGCCTCCCCTCTTTTTCTCTACGTGCTCTCTCTCTCCTCTCTCTCTCTCTCTCTCTCTCTCTCTCTCTCTGCTCTCTCTCTCTCTCTCTCTCTCTCTCTCTCTCTCTCTCTCTCTCTCTCTCTCTCTCCGTCCTCTCTCTCTTCTCTCTCTCTCTCTCTCCTCTCGTCTTCTCTCTCTCCTCTCTCTCCTCTCTCTCCCTCTCTCTCTCTCTCTCTCTCCTCTCTTCCTCTCTCCCCCTCTCTCTCTCCTCCCTCCCTCCCTCCCTCCTCCCTCCCTCACTCCATTCCCTCCCTCCCTCCTTCCTCCCTCCCTCCGCTCCCTCTCTCTCCTCCCCTCCCTCTCCTCTCTCTCTTCTCTCTCTCTCGGTCGCTCTCCCTCCTCTCTCTCTCTCGCTCTCTCTTCCTATCTCTTCCTTCTTTGTTCTCTTTCTCTCCTCCCCTCCTCTCTCTCTCTCTCTCGCTCTCTCTTCCTATCTCTTCCTTCTTTGTTCTCTTTCTCTCCTCCCCTCCCCTCTCTACCTTCTCTTTCTCTCTCTCTCGCTTTATCTCTTTCTCTTTCTCTCTCTTTCTCTCCACCTATCGATCTATGCATGATTTTTTTTGCATCGTCTCTTTTCCCGACGACAGGATCGTTCCCGATCTCATCGTGCAGATGGGTGACGTCACTGTCGGCGACGGCAGCGGTGGCCGCAGCATCTACGCGCCGATCTTCGACGACGAGAACTTCTTCCTGAGCCACCGCAGCGCCGGTTGGGTGTCGATGGCCAACCACGGACCCGACTCCAACCAGAGTCAGTTCTTCCTCACGCTCAACAAGGCGCGCTGGCTCGACAACAAGAACGTCGTCTTCGGACGCGTGATCGAAGGTGAGTCTGCGAGCGGGATGAGCCGGAGGGGGGAGCCACGGCTGCGATAGCAGACGCCACGTGTGCGGAAAGGGGGCGCGAGAGATGTAGAAAGGGGAGAGGCCACGGGTGCGAAAAAGAGCAGCACGAGTGCGAACACGAGAGGACGGCACAGGTGCGACAGCGGGGGCGTCGCAACACGGTGAAACCCCTCTGCGGCAGCTAGACTCCACATCTCCGCGTCGCCTCCTGTAATCGAGCGAGCGCACGCGCGATCGTATCATATCTGAGGAATATGCGGCCGCAGCGAATTATTCAGGAACGGGGGAGTTTTTAGAGGAATTATGCGCTCGTTACGGTGAACGCGTGTACGCTGCCCGGCGTGTGCATTAAACATTCATGCGTCCGTTTTGTAGGCATGGAGTTGCTGAAGACCCTCGGCTCTGTCGAACCTGACCAGTTCAACGGAGTACCGATGCAGCTCATCAAGATCACCGCCTCGGGACTGTACAAGCTCGACAAGGAGTACGACCTGTCGGAGAAGGACCTGGATAGGGAGGACGACATCGGCGCCAAGGGTGTGTACCAGAAGGTCGAGAAGGAAGGAAAGAAGGAGAAAGAAGGAGAGAACAAGAAGAAGAGCAAGTCCGTCTAAATGGGCACGCGGACTTCTCCGCGTATTTCTCTACATCGTCGCCCTGATCTAGTCTCACAGATTGCCGCCCATGTCATTAAAAACTTGATTCCTCGGCTACACATAACGACTTCTTTTACAACCTCTTTCCATTCCGTGAATGATAAAGCTCAAGGAGTTCGTGGGGCTATCGTGTAAGAGTCAATATGTCATCCATTTCTGATAGGCCTACTGCAACGTAACGTACGTCTGTAGCTATGTTTGAACTTTGAGCAATAAACAGAGCGTCAAATACCACAACGTTTTTCCACTCATTTATATTAAAATTCGGCTAGAGCAATCTATAAGACGCGTCTACACAAGAAGACTGAAACGAAAATATGCGCATATGCGACCAGAAATGGCGAGTTACGCGGAGATAATCGCTTTTTGCCGGTGTAAACATGCACATAACCTGAGATGATGTAGCGAAGCTGCTTGCTTACCGTGATCGCATTAGTGGTTACGCGCGAGGGTGTATATCTAACACCCTTTGCTAACGTCTATTAGGCACATAATGAAAAGAACACAACAGCAGTGGTATACGTATTCTAGTTATTCTCTTTAATCGTTACCTCTTAACTGTGTATAATCCCATAACAGGGCAATCGCGTACACTAGGGTTACGCGAGACACGTCATAACTTACGAGGCTAATGCTGTGTCGTCCGGTTATCTAGCAAATGTGCAGTATCTATGTATCGTGCTCTGTCTACGTTTTACGAGCTCTCTGTCTGTCCTTCTCTCTCGCCAAGCAAGAAATATATACCCGAACTGGAGACCCGTCTATCTATTGTTTATCGTCAATCCGCTATACGCGACTGCCTGTAATTGGTTGCCTCTACTACTGGCTAGTCCATGGTCACGACTTTATATAGCTGGGCATGCATGTACCCCAAAAACGAACAATAGCATAATAGTGTGTATTTCCTTACTATGTATTTCTGCGGTATTACAATGAATCGAGGTTCAATCAGCACCATGCATGCAGCAACGTCCATCGCCAGCATTCTGCTTTTAGATTTTTACGGGAGCTTCTGAGCTCAGCGAATAGTTAACCAGATGCATCTAAATGTGCTTCAGTATGAAAAAGATGCTAACTCTAAACGTAACAAAAATTTCCAAAAACGTTTAATTAATTTTAAGAGATATAACGACCTCGCTAAACCGACACACATGTATGATATACTAAACATAACATGTTTACACAATAACAGACATTTGTGTTGGGGCATACGTGGTCCACGACAATATTTTAAACTGTAATATGCTACGAGCTCGTTAGACTTTTTATTATTCTTAACCCGGAATTCATTACGGCACCCCAGACATTGTGATGAAACATTCTTGCATCAACACTGTCTACGCCTTGCTTTTCACGAACGCATAAACTTCGGTCACGGAAGTGCATCCATATTTCCTACCTGCCGTGGATAAATATTAGTGGTAAGATAGATTTCCCTCTAGCACACAGGCAAATGTGTAGTAGCAACGGTAGCAAATTTTAGCTTTAATAGTTAGGGTACGGGGTATATCGTATATGTAGTGATCATCGACTACATATTGCAAACGACACCGCATGACGGACCACTTTAGATGTATATCAGGGAGTGAGGATGAGGAAAGATTAAACTTGATGTAGATGAGGTCATACAATGACTGTCACCCCCCCCACGCACATTCTCCTCTATGAAACACCAACTATGCGCGCAACTCATAAAAAATTACATTCATTCATTCACGGTATGACAATTACATGTATACACTGCATATGCTGAGCATGCAATAATACTACTGATGTAGAACACAACGCAATACCCTACTTAATATGTGCATGCTACATTTTGTGGCTTCCTCTATGATAAGGATAAACCAGATGCTCACAACGAATTCGGGTTATATAGTTTATGTTTGTCTTGCAGTGAATGTATGTACATATGAATAAATAAAAGAGAGGCAAGTCTTAACTGATGCACATGCAAACACGAGCAGTCTGTAATGTTTGTCTATAGCTGCCAGCAGGCTTCACGCCCACACAACACTAGCACACCAACTCATGTCTTCATGCTAAGCCACTAATGCTTTCTATGTGTGTGACTCAGACTGCATATTACCGAACTACATACATAAGCCCGAGGTATATCTGGCAAAATATATATGGCAGTATAAAAGCATTTATGAAAATATCTCCGCGACCCTTTCTTCATAATTATTGCTATAAATTAAGTCCCTAGGAAATTACTACCAATTATTTCTCTGTTTACTACACGAAAATGAATCAAATTTAGCGTCAGCTTTTTAATACAGACACCCTGAGGATTATAAATAATAATGTTTTCTAATAACTAACAAGCACACTGTCGAATTATTCACAATGGAATTATTCACAATTTTGAACATCTCGTGGAAACCATGGCGATTAAATATAACATCGGCTGCTACAAAATATCACGCACACCACCTGCACGCACTCAAACCTACTGAACACTAAAACGACAGGCACACAATACTCATGAAAATACTCGCTAAAATATTTCAGAGTTATAATTTTAGTTACATCTACTAAGTAACTCAAGTCTATATATCTTCACCCACACCGTAGTTTATAGGTAACATAATCAGAGTTAGAAATACCACTAAAACCATTCACTATATGCGGCGAGTGCATAACGTAACTAGGAGTGAATAATAGAGATAGGTGACTTCATGAGCGCAATTAAACATACAGGAAAATGTTGAACAAAATTAATGTTTAATCTCTCTTTAACATCTCAACATTATCAATCACACACTATTGCCAGTTAACATTAAAGCCAAACAAAGGTGAGTTGGCATGAATTCAAAACCTACTAGTAATAACAGAAGTCAAACATTAAGTAAACTCAGCATTAGGACAGGAAAATATTGTTGCTGCAAAATTCAAGATAGCAAAATTTTTAGAATATTTGAATTAGCATTTGACAATTTGAACCTTGATCTTGAGCCTGGCGTTTCAACTTCACACTGTCAGATGGCAAACTGCAATTTTCAACGCCATTTCTCTGACTTTGATTTATAATTAATAATACTTCAAACGCATTCTATTAAACCTAAAAAGAATACAATAGGGCGGCTGTTGAACTACACAATGAGAGCCGCTGTTGTTTAATATATTCAGTATAACCCGTGAATAGCGACTCTTTCGAGATAGATAAATAGAAGATGAGTCTGTGCAGGGAAAATACAATGATTAGATCTCTCACATTGTACCTGACTTGAAAGAAAAAGACAATTGACTTTTCCTTTTATGTTTCAAAAAAGCATTACATTGTACAGCTAAAGTTGAGTGTAGATTGAGGCAGCGCATCAAACACTTTAGAGCACAGGATATAATTCATAGGTGAATTAATGCTCGTATCTTAAAAATAGCTTTTACTATCGTAATGTAAGGATAAATCCCCCATTATCCGGCAGCAGACACACATTTCTTGGCATTTATTTCTAGTTCAATATATATATCGCAAAATGAGTTTCATATATTCGCATACTCTTCAAACAAAAAGCATTCAAACACTGAATAAATATCGAATAGCGAGTCCTTGCCTGAGGCATCACCAACACGTGACACGCATTACAGTATTTGCAAATCAAATGTCACCGTGCAATCGCTTGTGACAGACAAACATTTACCAGAATAATCGAGTATGCCTATATAAAACTAACCACTGTCTCGCCTTTTAGATTCTTGCCTCATCCATGACTTCAGCCTAAACTTTGTGTAGCTACGAAATCATTAACAGGGAGGGCACGATATTTTCAGAAAAACAAGTTTCTTATGAGAATAATCTATGGAAAGGAGTAATATTTTTGGTATGGATTTCATCGCAATTATGATACTTGATTGTTGTTTAATTGCGATTGTGCTTCCTTGTTTAAAATCTAAGTGGTGAAATAAACCAAATTACTTTACTTAAGTTGACTACTAATTTTCTTATTCGGAATCATTTGAGTGAGCTAATAAGACTACGGCCAATGAACACATGGATTATCATATATGCCAACAGTTTTTCATTTCAACTCCTTATAATTATGCATATTTTTCTAACTTTTGGTAAACACGATCTGTAGTAAACACGTTTTGTGTGGAGACCTTAATTGACTCAACAAGATACTGATGTCTAAAGATTTCGAATTAGAAATGTGCTCACTGCTTGAAGAATAAAATTGTTTTTCAGCTAAGCATTTCCAAAAGTTACTATGGCAAACGCTGGACCAGCATAACCATACTGGTACTGATCCAATTAGCTTTCATTAAAACTCTCTCATTAAATCCAAAGGTCTGAGCTAAGCCTCACTATTTTCGCAAAAATTAACAACATTGCTGCGACAGGGGACAGCACAGAAGGCGTGGCGGTAGTGCGGGACGGGTGGCTATACGCCATGGATCCATGTAGAATGGCTACAGAGAAACTGCTGTACGGACACTCACGGGCTTTTCTGCAATTGCTCTGGACGTATTTTCTTTTGCATACAAGTACAGTTGCCGTTACCATGCAGGCAACAGCTCCGCTACGCACGTCGGTTTACAACTGAAACCCGAGCATCTCTTGCATATACATGCATGCATCGCAAGTTCATGGAAACCTCTCTACGGAGCAGCAGTTCCATCACGTTTTACGCCGTACAATGCAGCTTACGCGCTATCTCTTGTTGCACGCGAAGTAAACAGCCAACTGAATGTCTATATTCGCATAAATCTTTATAATAACAAGATGCATCACCAGAGACACTGGTTTTGATACATCAGGCATAAATATTGAGATGCGTATATTTTGCGTTTCTACTAATATTAGAGGAAAGCGGTTATAAACAATAAATTAAATGTCACTGGGGATTTGATAGGGAGTACTACCTGAAACATACATCAGATAGACTGATGAATTTGGATGCTAGGCATTTGTAGAACTTTCTGCGGACTTATCTATATAGCTCATGCTAGACGGTCTTAAGCTTGACACCCTGCTGATTATACTGTAACATTGCTGTAGTGTAGGGTATAATACTTAATAGACTAGTTACTGCAACTTAATAGCTGATTATATACTCGTCCCAGATAGTATGGAAACGCTCATAATGCCCGACAGACGGTACTTCTCTCACAGTGCGATCAACCTTTGCGCAGCCATGGTAGTACTAGTAAGCATCATCACAACTGTTTATAAGCATGAATCGATGTCCCGACTATACACACAAAAATCACTGAAAACGTTTCATGTAGCTCGACTGTGAGATGATAAAGCCCTCGCAGTTCTTACCACTAATTAACTAAGTACTGCCGTGCGTGCGTGCGTGCGTGCGGCGTGCCGTGCGTGCCCCGTGCGTGCGTGCGTGTGGTGTGTGTGCTGTGTGTGTTGTGCGTACATGTGTGTACATGTGTGTATGTCGTGCGCGCGGGCGATGTGTGTGTGTGTGTGTGTGATGTGTGTTTGTGCTCGTGCGTGGTGCGCGTGGGCGTGTGTGGCCTGTGCGTGTGAGCGCGGCGTGGTGCAATGTGTGTGTGTGTGCGTGCGCTCGCGCGCGCGCGTGTGTGTGTGTGTGTGTCGCGCGCGGTGTGTGTGTGTGTGTGTGTGTGTGCGTGTGTGTGTGTGTGTGTGTGCGTGTGTGTGCGTGTGCGACTGTGTGTGTGTGATTGTGTATATATACATATATCCATTAATGATTATCCACATACACAATATATGCAATCATGGCTTAGCTTTAGATGTGGCTGGTTATACCGTAATGTACGTACTCTGAGTCGGTTAAAATTTTATTATCCCGTAGGCATACCGTCACACACGTAACTAGACAGAGGGCACTCACGGAGAGTGCATACCTCCGCCAGCGTGTAACATGTATACATGTCTTATTATTTTATTGTATTGGCTTGCTGTTCGCTCGCTCGTAGCAGCCGCTCGTTGCTGCTGCTCGCTCACATGTACACGCTTGACTGGACACACTAACACACTAACACTGACTGGCCTGCTGCTGGCTACACGAACACACACACTAACACACGAACGTACGAGACCGATCACATAACCTCCGCCCTCCAACTCCGTTTGGCGGAGGTAATAACTTTCAATTATGCTCAGCCTCTTGATATTATCCTGTAGGGGTTGTGGGGGATATAAATTTGCGAGAAGGACTGAAACGAAGGCGTAATAGACACTGCAGTAAAAAGCTAACTGCTGTCGTTTGGCTTCAACGCATGGCATTTGTGTTCTGTCACGCTCACAGTCACCTATGGTGTGGAAGGATTACGGGTTGCATTGTGCGCATCTAAAATTAATGGAACATTACGGGCTATTGAACCGGCTGGCGTGGGAGTACTAGTGAAAGTTCGTGATAATAAATACGGGTTAGTGTAGTATACCTCTGACATACGCGCAATATGTACGCACGT